AGGTGAGGATACACTGGCAGCTGCAGTAGCGAACCTGCACACGGGCGGTCCAGGTTAAGTGGTCGCTCTCCAATGGATCAAGGCAGCAATGGAGTTCGGCAGCCTCCTGAATGACCGAGCAGCCCTRTTTAGGATCGCTCTGCTCGCCTCCACAGCATGAGGACGGGGCTAGAAAAGGTGCCCTAAAAATAGTCTGTCTTACCTAACCCTGGTCAGCATACRGCGGCTGACGGGGATCCCGTACAGCGGTCGAAYRAAGATTAAATTAAAAATGCTCACCTTAGCGTTATGGAATGTGAGAATCCTGCTCGACAATACTAGTGCTGACAGACCTATGAGACGAACTGCCTTAGTTGCAAGGGAACTGGCTCGATATAAAGTCGACATCACAGCCCTTAGTGAAACACGCTTCGCAGACAAAGGTCAGCTGACTGAGACAGGTGGTGGTTATACCTTTTTCTGGAGTGGGTGGAGTGTCAAAGAGCGACGTYAGGCCGGTGTGGGTTTTGCCATCAAAACAACCCTCGTTCCAAAGCTTGCAAGCTTACCYGAGGGTCTTAATGACCGACTAATGAAAATGCAGTAGAGGTAAGAGGAAATAAAATAGACATGCACATGTATCATTTTGCGTTTGTCATTTATTATTTTAATGTTACTATATACAGGAAACCACACTATTGCCATTGTTAAGTCACCAGAAGACTACGAATGTCTAAAAGAGTGCTTAGGAAATGTGATTAAAGAAGTAAATTCACTGGTTGACAAGAAGGAGATTAAGATTGATGATAAAACGGTGAAACTAGAGTTTTTTCTTGGTGGTGATTATAAGGTTAGCGCAAAATATTATTTTCAAATCAATCATTTCTATAGCCCAGTTATTGTAAAAGTTATAACTAAGATAATAATAATACTAATAAATTAATATTTTTTAGTTTCTACTCCTTGTCCTTGGAATGAAAAGCCCAGTTATTGTAGTTATAACTAAGATAATAATAATGCCAATAGATTGATCTTTTTTAGTTTCTACTCCTTGCCCTTGGAATGAAAAGTGTCACCTCCAACCATAGCTGTATTTATTGCAAAGTCCCAAAGAGTGAAAGGTAAACACAGTAGTTTTCAACAGAGCTTATGTTTTTTATATCTCAATGGACAGAGAGTGAGTTCTCTTATTTATTCTGAGTGATATTACATAATGTCAATTTTCTCTATGACAAAAATGAGGTCATCTTACCAAGCCATTAAGCTACTATGTGACACGAGACATCTCAARCAKKAACTGGAAAAAGCAAGATGMGTGTGAGGCTGAGCCTTTTTTCAAGATTAATGTGGACCACATTGTAATAGACGAGCTCCACTTTCTCATGAGTGCGATGGACAGACTTGAGACAGGGATAATCCTTGAAGTACTTGATTGGGACCAGGTATTCTAGTGATGCATAAAGACTCATATTATTGAGTTAAACAAAATCAATCACCAAAATTATATTAAAATAAATTGGGATGGTGTTTGAGGATAAATATAAATTTTATATTTCCAGGAAGATAACTACAGAAAGCCAAAGAGCCAGCAAACTAGCAAGCACAAAGAAAGACTGATACAGGCAACAACAGATTGTGGGGTTTRATTGTCCATATGGAAGAAGGACAACAAGCCAGACTGGACGTCAATGACTGGAGCAGCAAAAAAGAAACTTCTTCGCTTGCTACSTGAAAAGTTTGATGATATTCTACGACCACAAAATGTGGACCAGACAAGAAAATTGTGGGAGGTATAACATTTTGAAACTTTTTTTTGCAACAAATAGATCATATGGACTACTAGTATTATTACTAGTATTATTATGAGTACTTTTATGTAAACAACTGAGAGTAATAGATATTATTAGAGACTTTGCTTCTATTTCACTACTAATTTCTGAATATATTAATAAGCAGAGGCATGAAATGTTTATGGCATTAATTTCTCCCTTGCAGAATTTTGAAGCCTTCTATGAAATAGTTACAAGTTGGGAACCCAACAGAAAAGATATAGACAGACCTTTCAAGAGAAGGTAGAGCAATATTACTTTTGATTAAAACAAATGCAGTAGTATTAAACWTATTAAGTCTATCTCTACTTACTACAGAATTAAAACTATGTTTGTCCTGAACTCTAAACATCAGAGAAATTTAACACCCTGAAGATATTCACTGGTCAAGGTATGTACCTATTTCATTTGATTAAGCACCAATATGAGTTCTATTTTGACCCAATTCAAACACAAAGTGTCCAATTGCATTTTGTTTCATTTCATTTTCATATTCAAAAAYTAAGGAGCCCAAAACGTTTCAGTGCTTTGTCAACAATCCATTCTTTGTGTAATAATTTGATTGCTTGCTATGTGGGATCATAATAATTTGCAGTGTATAAGCTTATTGAGCATTAAGCTTAACTTTAGCTTATATCAAAAATATAAGAGATTTTGTAATTTTGAATCTTAATGATCTTAATGAATTGTTTTAGACAAAAGACACTAACCTTGAAACACTTAAGCACAATATTTTGTACGATTTCTAACAGGAGTAGAGAAGAAGAATGACGACGTCAGACTCAGTTTCCACAGAAAGACCAACAGGTGGACGTGTGTAGATCCATTCTCCTTGCTGAGAAACGACGAGACCGACTAGAAGACCTTGCACCACCATCAAGAAAGTACATTAAACAAAATGTGGAATACTGGACAGGTGGTGGCAAGGAAAACGTAGCAAGAGGTTTCCCCAAGCTCTAGTCTATGTTGGAATAGAACTACAAACGGCTCTTTTAAGAGCCACACATAATCAAAGAGTCATGACCAAATGCCATATTAAATGTCTCCATTGCTCGCGGGCACATATGCATAACAAATACGACCACAAAGACATTTTAAGATAATATAAAAATATAACCAATCAAAAAACATTTCCAGACGTTTTTTAAAAGCACACAAAAGTGCAAATTACTGTTAAAATGGGCTTCCGACTGTTACTCTAATCGAAAGTAGACAAAATTTTAGATATTTTGGGCTACCTGTGGAATTTCGCGCGACCAGAAAGCGCACTTGAGGCATCAATAGCTGTCAACAACGCAGAACAAGCTGTAAGTCCTTCGTTATAATTTGAGTTTTGTTTTTGAAACAACTATCGTGTGTTAACCAAGATCAAATTTGAATCGTAGATTGTAATCACAGACCCAGATGTTAAGCCATTCATTGCGGAACTGGCCTCATTTCTTGAAGGCCACATGCTTATGTGGCACCGATACGATAAATGCCAATGCAATAAGTTGGCTAACTTTGGTGATTTGGTATTTAAAGCCTTCATACTTWTTATTTAGGAACATCCAAATATGCTCGAGAGCGAAAAGAGAAGGTAAAAACTTTAGTTTACAACGGATCGAGTAGTGAATCGACATCATTGATTTTGATTTTTACAACTTTGTAGAATGGTGATGCTAGGCAAAGCAAGGAAGTTTGTTAACTTTCAACTGCCACCCCCCGAATTGCCACCAAGATTGGAAAATAAGAAGAGGAAACTAAAATAAGGACAATATAAAATTGAATTAAATTATTTATTTATGAAATAGACAAGTCTCACGTGCGTCTTTTGCATTTGTCATTGATTTTTGATTTGTTGGCTCCCAATAGAGCCGTTGTTTTATTTTTCATTGTGTTGGTTACACAGTGTTGTTTCTAAACTTGAAGTTAACTTTCTGTATGTGTCTTGTCTTTGTTTTATTCTTTTTTATTTATTTTTTATATTATTGAGTAAAAGAAGTACGGCGCTTTGCCGAGGCTCAGTCTGACAATCACTGGAAAGATGATTTTGCGGCGCTTATTGGTATATGAGATGACTTTTTCTGCAATCTCTGAAAGCCCAGCACGTTCCAGATCTTCTATGTTTAGTTTATGGTAGTCTCGGCTAATTYTGGTAGGCAAGGAAGGGAACAGCAAATGGACGATGTCGTGATCAATTTCCAGATTCTGCGAAGTCATCAATGGCATTTTAAGGCCACGTTCAAACATCAGCATGATTTGTTGTCTCACCGAGTTTTCTCTTAGTTCAGACGGAATATGGCTCGATGGTTCCCATTATAGTCCTCCTCGGCACAATCTTTCCAGATGACAAGGTACTCGCATTTGCTGCCTGCTTTTCGCTTAGCTAGAATCTTCTCGACGACAAATTCACCAAGAACAGGAGCTTTGAGCTGCACTTTACTGGGACGTGGAAGTTGTGCCAATTCTTGGTAAAAGCCTTCGCAATGTCTTGGTCGCTTGACTYACATGTTTACTGTTATCATCTTTCAACTAATGTGATGAAAGCCTTTTTCACGAAACGTTTTCTACTAGTCGTTAGACGTGTGGCCATCAATTTCCWTTGTTTTTCTTTCCGGTTTATTTCTCACCTGTTCGGTCCTTTGCGGCAATTACGGCATTGTGCATCAGCTAATCAAGTTAACCTCTTTTGTTCTAATTACAKACCTACACGTTCTTATTTGGGTTGCTTTAAGTGTCTTTAATTACTGTATTGCTTAAAATACGGCGGCAAACAATTTTGACTATCTTGCTCTAATTATTTCTTGCGTAGCCAGAGCGTCACAAGGTTAGGACAGTTAAAAAAACCTACCGATTGAATCATAATCTTTTTTAGATGCTTTTTAATTGTATTTCCAGTGTAGATATTAGGTGGGTTCACACTAGAGATTAAGTGAGTCTAAAGTTAGTATACTGTTAGTATACTTAAGCTATACAGGCGTTCACACATATAGATCGAACACCTACTTAGAATGTTTGAGATGTCAATCACGGTAAACCTTTTCAAGAGTTCATATTACGATCACAAATATGTGGGACCACGTACTATTATGTGTATCATTTCTAGCCTTTATTGTATTACTATTGACTAACAACGCGGCCAAAGTACAACAAGAAGCGATGTTCTTGCTTATGYTTAACCACTTCCAGTGTAGACTTAAGTTTAGGAGAATGGTTATGATGTACGCYCTGAGAGTTCGAAAGCAAAGACGGCGGGGTCGTATGTATCAAAGAAGAGKTTGGGCATGGCCTAGACCACAACACTGGTTTAGAACCATGCTCGCTAACAGAAACCTGGATGTTTTGTGGAAAGATCACTTTCGTGTATCCAGAACAACATTCYACTACATTTGTGATCTAGTAAGAGCAGATATACAACGACAAGCTACTAGGATGAGACAGCCTGTAAGCGTGGAGGAGCGAGTTGGGTTGTGTTTATTGCGTCTTGCGACAGGAAACAGTTACAGAACATGTGGACTACAATTRGGATTTGGAAAATCAACAGCTAAAACCATTTGTCAAGCATTTGAAGAATCTTTGACCCGTAAAAAGAACCAGTTTATTGTGTTTCCTATTACAAGGCAGGACATTGAAAAAACTATGCAAGATTTTGAAGACAAAAATGGGATACCGCAAATAGCTGGTGCAGTGGATGATTCAAGAGTGCTAAGACTTAGTGGGATTGTGGACATGGCTGAGAATCAACAAATCSTAGCGTTTCCYAAAAAGGATGTAAATGGGGTAGATATAGGACCGCTTCTTATTACAGACAGTGCCTACAAGCTAAGGCCATGGCTCATAAAACCCTATCCAAACAGAAGGCAGCTAACACAAGAGCAGAGAAAATTCAATCGACACCTTAGTTCTGCATGATCTGTGGTCGAAAATGCTTTTGGCTTCCTGAAATCCCGTTGGCGAATCCTGTTAAAGAAAATTGAACAACAGCTCAAAAGTTCGAAAACTACAGTAATTGCAGCTTGCATACTTCACAACATATGCATTGATAGAGGGGATATTATTGACCACAGTGACAGCAGTGATGATGATGATGATTACGATCCTGATGCAGAAGACCAGGTCCGAGAAGCACTTACAGAGTATYTGTGGTCTAATCTTTAAAGTCAAACTAAACATCTGAAAAACAMCCGAAACTGGTTGAAAGATGAACGAAAAATGAGACAAATTGAGAGATAAATGATAAAAAATGTAAAATTTATTTTCATTTCATTTAAAGCTCGCAATAGAAATTGTTCTGTTTTATACATGCTTTATTATATAATGAACAAAAAATCGATTTTTTTTCTTTTTTTGCTTGTAATTGGTACAAATATTACTGATCTGATTCAATCGCTTAAAACAATTACTACCAACCATGTACATAAATCGCAAAGTTGAACTTTTTTAAATAATGATTTTTCAAATAATCCATTCGGCGTTATAACATGATATTTATCTGATGTGTATCATAGAGAGGATTAACTTTGCTTGAACAGGTGTATTCGCCACAACAAAACAGTAAACTAGAACATAAATGTTCGTGTAAGAGTTGGCTTTTAAACGCAAAAAGCCATGCATTATTTATCACGTATTGTTCTAATCTTTTTTGGATAACAAGTCCGTAAAAATACCCTTAAAGCCGGCCAATATATTGTTGGTCTGTTCTGCTTGGCGTGTTTGACTTTCTTGAAATTCCCTAAGTATGTAAGCCTTGGGTATGTATATATGTTTGTCTTTCCTTCGATCAATGCATTGTTGAAGAGAATTTGTGAATGCCGGCAATTCGCCTGTTTCATGACGTCCACAGTATGTTTACAGCGGGATAAAATGTTCCAAAAACTGATGGAAGTTTGGCCCGATTTGTACCATCAAAGTAGTTTCATTTCATTATGAAGTCACTCTTGAAACCATAGTCCTTTCCGTCAAAAATAGATTGTTTTGATGTGACGTCAGACTGAAAAAGGCAATAATTCTCRTTTTAGCGATCTCTTTTACYCTGTGTTAGCCAGAGTAGATTGATAATGAAAGCTTAACGAAGTACGTCTTACAACGCTTATCGTGGACTAATTAATGCAGTCGCTTATCATGTTACGTTTTTTATGATACAGGGAAACCTTACTCAGCAGCTTATTCGGCTCATGGAGAATATTCGAGCCTCCAGCAAGCGCCGATTTCAAGATGAAGAAAAAGMAAAAACAAACAAAAAAGCTAAGATAGCTGATGWAGGTATGATAAAAGTGGTAGCTTGTAAGTAAGTTCGGTTAGGCTAGTAATAATTACAARATACGCCCCAAATATCCAATTAGAATTAAATTGTATATTGTTACATTCAGATAAAGATCAAGAGCTCCCAGAGGAGGTAGTGCTGATGTCATTGCCCAGTCTATTTTCCACTAAATCGCCTCGTGCCAGGAAGGCAATGGGCTCTAAAGGAGCAAAGGACTTGACCAAGCACTTTGTGTATATTCTTGGGGTAAGTTTTCAGCGTAACGCGCGTTTATGATCAGGCTGAAAAAGATTGATGACCAAAATGCTCATGAGAAGTGTCCGCTTAAWAATAATGTACATCGTTTCTTTTTCATATAGGAAAATGACAGCTTGACGGATATTCCTAAAGACATGACGTCGCCGTTTTTGTTGTGCCGTATAAAGGAGACAGTGGGAGTGGAAACAATAATGGTCATGGYAAATAGCAAGAACACGTATTTTACGTTAGAGGTGACAGAGGCATCGGGTAGTGAGAGCATTGTAGGCAAAAGTGTCATATGCCTATGTACTTTGTCTACATGCTCCATTATCCCGATGCCGTCAAGTACGCATTTTATTTTTTGCAGCAATACGTACTTGGTATTGAGGACTTGCCGGCTCGTTCAACAGTGCAGTATGAAAACGAGGTCCAAAAATATCTGAAGTTTATGCACAACCAACAGTAGCTGAAAAGTCTGAACCACTTCTCGATCGGTCACTATGGAATTGTAAATAGTTACACACAATAACACGAATCATGTCGACAATAAACTTACATGAATTGTCATAGTCATTTTTGTACTGTAGATTGTTTTATTATTATAAAAAAGTAGACTCCGTAGCAGAAGCATGTCCAAACGGCGGTTCGATTATCAAAAAAAAACTGCGTGAGAGAATGGAACCGCTTGGAATGTATGCTACGGAGGCTAAGGATCCCGGCCCGATTCTGGAATGAACACTTTCTAAGCCATTTTTTCTCTTTTTGTAACTGTAAAATATACTTTCTTCTTTTTTTCTAAAATGCGGAGTCGCCTTRCATCCATGTTTGAAATTCTCAGAGTATAATGCAACGATAATGGCTAAATATGTGATTACCTTGATATATATAACCAGAAACCTATAACAAAACATTTTAAGCCATTAACTTGTTAGGTAAAGATATTATACACATTCATATACATAACAAAACATTTCAAGCCGTTAACTTTAGTGGCTTAAAATGTTTAACCGAGCAAGTTAGTGGCTTAAAATGGTTTGTTTATATATAATGGATATATAATGGCTTAATAGGCAGTCATCTAAACCCCCGAATCTATCGAATCAATCACGCGGCGCTGATAAAACAGTTCCACAACAAATTCTATACGCTTTACGTGGCAACATGGCGGAGACCGTGTGTTAAAAAACGAAGTAGTTCTCGTTTTGAAATGATATTAAAACTCTCTAAATTAGATGGAACTACATCATATTCAGCGAAGCACTGAAAAGGAAAAATGAAAGGCTTCATTTTAGAATATGCAATCCTATGTATTCAAAAAAAGTTGTTGGGTAGAGCGGTGCCGGAATCACTCAACGGTCTATATTAGTGGCTTCTACATCAGTTGCTCAGCTMAGAGAAATCAAGTATAAATTACTTAACAAGCTCCCGYTGTTTAGTTGTATTCATTTGTGATGGAGTCCAAATTAAAACAGACCGAAGACGCGTAAGAAATTCCTAACTTCATGGAGTGAAGTCACCCGGAAGGTATTTTACTCTTTGGTACAGATCATGTGCTTACTAGTTTGTAACATACAATATATTCGTTATGTTGAGTGCTCGAGCAATTACAGTGTTAAATCTGGGCGCTCCACGAGGCAGTTAAGGCGGCCTGATATTCCCGCCACTTTTTACAGTGAAAAGGTCACGTGTCATWAAGGCCCGRGYCTTAAAAGTTCAGCGGATAGCACRYATTAATATTAGCGAGGAGTTTGTTTCTTAATGGAGTTTCGTGGCTATATCATTTACTAAATGGAATATATGCAATATCAAAATGCATTATAACTTACCATCTACATTATATTATTGTTTGAAAATCTATTTTTTCTTGCAAATGCTAATCCTCTTATTTGACTTTTTTTCCCTTACTAGATATTTGATGCAAATGGTATTGCTATTCCAATTGAAAYCAAAGCCGCCTCATCAAATACTGKTATTCAAATTGATCAAGCGGCCTCTTCGAATACACCTTCTACYCCTCCAATGCAAAATGTGAGTCAATTCCTGAGATTACTATTCCGGTTTGTCACAGATGTTTTCTCCCCCYCCGAGAACTGTTCGCAGAGTAATATTTCCTGTAAGAGTAGCTTATTATATTATATTATTATATTTCCTATAAGCTTATTGRAAATATTCAACTTAAGCTTAAATGACATTTCTGTGATCATTTTTATCCTTAAAAGGATATCCCATCCACGCCTTTAAGAAGGAGTCCAAGAAAAAGGACACTTCTAGATTCCAATCCCCCTGGTTGTACTGCCAGCAAGAGATCACCTTCATGTTCTCCAGAACAAATGAAYAAAGTAAGCCTAAATATATAGTATATATATATTCCATGTTTGCATTTACATTACTGATTTTATTAATGAAATATTAATGACTTTATTCAGATAGCTATAGATTTGAGAAAAAATGAAATATTTTAAGTTAATGTAAGCTTAATATTTTCAGTCTATAATAAATTTTAAACCACATTTATAAATGTTTTGTAGTCTCCAACAGTTGAAAAATCTCCAGGTTGGATAAACAACTTTACTTTACCAGCAAGGGTAAGTGATTTTTTATTGTTTGTGTAATCAGAACTGTTCAAGGGAAATATATAGCTAACTATATGAAATCTGGTGTAATATTATATAAGTTTCTGATTCTTGGTSAAGTGAAATTAATAGCTCCTGATGCTAAACCAATTGACCTGCATTTTTMGATTTTTGATTTAGTACGTCGCACAACCTTACACTATATATAAGTCTTGCAAATCATGAGCCGTCGTTATGTCAAGGCAAGGCTTGCACTTGCCTTTTGATGTATGCCTTGCTGAGGCTGTGTTCAWGGACCAGCCTTGCTTGGTGCTCACATCTGATTTGCTTCTTATATATTTGTGGGTTAATTACTATTGCTTTGAATCACAAGTGTTTTGATGCAAAAACACAGAGTAGCCATTATTTCACTGATTGGTATCAGGACTTTACATAATACTTTACTATTCCATACCATAAGACATCAAGGTGCATGTAATSTTGTGTCAATAAYGTATATTTCTTTGGTTTATAGTAATCGGTGATTKACATATATTGTTTGATTGATTGAATTTTATTAGTCTCCTTAGTATTACATTAATCATATAATAAACATAATGAATATAATTTGAACATTTCATATCACAATTACATGAAGACATAAACATAAAAACAAAACCGATAACATAGTTAGGCCATGCATAAATTAGTGATTAAGATTGATTAATTTGCTTCTCAGAGATCAAATCGTAAACAGACTTCCTTTAATATTTTCTTTAAAAGCAYCCTGGACTCCAAGATCCTGAGATAAATGTTTCCAAAGGAGCAGGCAAGAAATTACGAAAGGCAAAACAAAG